CTATGTTCAGGGGCTCCCCTTGGCCGTGGCACACACTCTGGCAGGGGGATGCGGCACTGTGCTCAGGGGCTCCCCTCGGCCAGGGCACACACGCTCCTACTAACCTTTGCAGCCCTATACTTTGCCCTGATGGCACATTTAGGAGATCGGTCCTTACTCATTCTTGGCTCTCTTGCAGCTGACTGAAAGGAGGGCAACTGCATTGATCGTCAGCCTGCCAGGGATGGTGGACATTTCCCCAGATGGTCCCTCATCAGATGTGTGGCTTCCTCCCTGAACTTTCTGGCCATCAGGGATGGATGTGTGTCAGTGGTCAATGTGCTGCGAGCCCTGGAAAGAGAAGGTAAGGTTGGTCTTCTCGTCTGACTGAGCCCTCATTTGGGATGTTCTGGGATCTTTGGGGGAGGGAGCTTTGAGCAGATACAAGGAAACAGGTAGACTCAGTGGGCCCCTGGGTCAGAGAATCTAGTCTTCTTTACCTTTGTCCAGCTCAGCATGGAATGGAGGCTGCTCTGAGGGGCCCCAAAGCTGTGGATTTGAACTCAGGAGTGCCAGGAAGCCCAGAAGGCTCATGAGGCCTGGCAGTTGAGGCCAGCTCACTCAATGCCTCTTCTCTGCCCAGTCCCAGAGTCTTCAGCCTGGGCGGGGGCGGGGGGGAGGCTGAGGGTCTTCCAGCCCGTCTTCCGGCCTGCAAGCAGAACTGTCCTCATGACTGCTTCCAGAGCTGATGGAAAGAGATTTCAAAGGTTTCCTGGCTGACACGTTTCAGGGCCGCCAATACTCTCTAATCGCTGTGTTGTGGGGCAGGGGGGCAATAACTGGCCATCGGTTAGATAGAGAAATGGACCAAAAGTGAAGCACCAAAAACCACAGCAGCCCGAGCAGAGCCCTGCAAGTGGGCCCAAGGGGTCATCCTTCCACGTCTTCTTGACGACCCAAAGAGGCTTTCTGGGGAAGGCAGAGTTTAACTTTTTCTTCCTTGTGAATGATGAGGCAGCTTTGTTCATCGCAGCTCTTAAAGGATGAGTTTGGGGAGTTGAGTGAGAATGAGGGGTGGGCTGAGGGGCTGCACTGGTCCTGGCTTTGTATCTATCTGACCCTCTCTTGGCTTTGCTCCTCACGGTCCATCTCTCCCGCTTCACACCAATGCACCGCTCAGATTGGGGGAGTCTTTCCATGGTCTGGCAGATGATGGGCTTTGTGATGTGGGGAGCTGGAGAAGCTGGAGGCCAGAGGTGCCTCCTGAAATCCTTGAAGCTTAGACAATGTAAGCCCTTCGAAATGGTTGCGTCTGGCTTCTCCCGCTTTGGCCACACACATTTGGGATGCACCGTGTCAGCTGGGGGTATGTGGTGAGTGGGCAGAAGGGAACTCACGGGTATCCCTTGGGTCCTGAGCATAACCTGAGTAGGCAGAGGTGTGGAGAGTGGGACTCTGGGGCGTGGAGGGCCAGGGCGCCCGATCAAAACGAGTCCTCTTCATTCCATCCGGGTTTCCAGCTGCCAGGGAGTTCTAAAATCCCAGTCCAAGAGTAAATGGACAGGAGAGGTCTCCTGAGGCGCAGACATTTCCTGGAGTGTGGACACTCAGGCTTTGTCTTTGCTATTGGATTGAGGGACATTGGGAGATGCTTCCCTCAGGTGACCGTGGTCTTGTGCCCCGAGGCCGCTGCTGATTTCCTCGAGCCCTTTCCACTTTTCATCTTTTGGTGCTACTGGTTACCTGCTGCGCCTCGGAGAGAGGGACGCAGGCACCTACTGGTCTGTTTTCGGGGACCTCGGTACAGGCTTTTATTTCCCTTCCTCCATTAGGCCCAGGGGAGCCCAGGCCTTCAGGACATGGGTGGAGAGTGGGGGGAAGGACCTAGAAATGAGTGAGCAGCCGGCACATGTGGCATATGCCCTCCTCCCCTCGCATCTGTTTGCCTGGTGCTCGCTGCCAGGCCTGATGCTGGCATGGTGGAGGCCTGTCCTTGGGGCTGTCTCTCCAACGGGGTGGGCTTCCGGGAACAGACCTCCTCAGTCTCAGCTGCCCTTTGGAGCTTATTTCTCCTCACGCTCGGGGCAAACACCCGGGCAGCATCATTCAAATGGGGCCCTGAAGGACTCTCAGACTATAAAGCCTTCTGTGTTAGTGCAGCCCCCAGTGCCCCCCCCATGTGTCTGAGGCTCCCCGCATTGTGCCTGGGCCCACATCCCTTGGGGGCTGCTGGCTCTCCCTCACCACTGTTTGTTCAGGAGAGCAATTAATCTTGCATCCTGATTGCTGGGACTGACGAATTTTGGCTTCTCCGGCACCAGAGACAAAACCTAGCGAGGCTGGATGGACAGAGCCACCCTAGCTAGCTCCATGGCAATGGGGGCTCCCAGGCCAGGAGAAGCTGTAGGGAGGGCCGCTCAGGCAGCCACATTTCTGACCTCTTCAGATAGGCAGGCCTGGCACCGATCTCTCGGTAGTCTGGGTACTCCAATAACAAAATCCTGTCAGAACAATTTAGGAGGTGCTGGGGGGGTGGTGGTCTGTGTTGTGGTGTACATGTGTGTGTGTGTTTGCGCACGCGCCTGCGCACACTTTGCCTCAGCCCTTCTGTTCTATCAGCCCAACACCCATGGCATCTTTCAAAATTCTCGGTGGGCGGGGCTGAGCCAGCCAGCCCCATGCTTACGTGGGGGCCTGTGCAGCCAGTTCAGATGAAAGGAGAAGACAAAAGTGGTGTTCTTCCCATCCCCAGGGCTGGGTGGTGTTCATTTAACCCGCCTTGGACTCCTGTGCGAACCTGTCGCCCTGGGCTCCTAAGCCAGGCAGAGCCGCAGCCCAGGCTGGAGGGCTCCTCGGCGGGGCTCCGGGCCACCCACTTGCCTGAGCTGCCCCTGGAATTCCAGCTTGGAAGGAGCAGACCTTTCCCCCGAGCATGTCCTTTTGAGGCTGCTGCAGAGTTCTCCAGCCTGCCTGGCCTTCCTTCCAAGGGAGAGATGAACCCTCCAGCTGACTTTCTTTTTTATTTTAAGAAAGGATTGGGTGGCTGCGCTCTGTAGGTAAGTCCTTTCCTGGGGGTCCATTTTATTTGTAGCAGAGGAACAAGCAGCCTGCTGCCGGGGTGGGGAGGAAGTCAGAGTAGGTTGTCAGGAATCATCCTCGCAGAGACCGTGCCAAGGTTTTCCAAATGTTTTGAGTTTTTTTTTTTTTTTAAACCTTAACCATCCAACGTAGAAAAACCAGTATGCCCCCCCCACCCCACCCCGGTCAAGCCTGTTCTGACGGACGCAGGCCTTGGCAAAGGCCGGGAGCTGCGGCGGGGGCAGCTTCTTCCCCGTGCCCTTCTCTTTAGCACTGGAGCAGATGGGACCCTCTTTTCCCTCCTCCGAGCTCCATCAATAGTGTTGGCCCATGTTACCCTTTTGTGTGGCTCTGTTTGGCCAAGGGAGAGAGGAAGGGCTCGATGGCGGCTGCCTGGACCGACCAGCTGGACAGGGGACGAAAACAGAACTCGGCACGTTCGCAACTAGGCGAGCGGCTTCCTTTTCTTAGCTGCTGGGCCCCAGATGACTCTGGCAGTGCAGATTCTTTCCTTTTTTCATTTTAAATAACAGCAACTAATTTCTGTAGTGTTTTGAGCTTTACAAATTAACAAAGAAAAGAATAGCAAACTCTTATGCCTGGGTTTTTTGTTACATTCACTTAATTCTGTTAGAGAAAGTTATTACTGCTTTTTAAAATTGAGCTCCTTCATTTTCTATTTAGAGAGGCTAGTTCTGCATTAAGACCTGTGTATAGACATTTTGGTCTAATCATAGAAATTAGCTACTCATCAAAGATTGAGTCACGGGAGAACAGCTCTGTCGGACCTAGTATGGGGCCGGCGTCTTCCCGAGCTTGAGTTTTAGCTGGAGCCACCAGCAGGGCCTCTGGGAGTGGGACCTAGGACAGACACATCCCTTTCGATTCCTGAAGGTGTTTCGATTTAATTGGGAATAACTTCGAAGGTCTTGGCACACCTTGGCTTTCTCCGTAGCCTTTTCTCTCAAGCTGCCCCTTGGGTTGACTGGAATTTTCAAATGGCTTCTAAAGCTCCCAAGTTTCTAATTTTTTAAAAATGTCGTTTTGCCCGTAAAAGAAGCCCGGATGGTCATGTGTCCAATTCCCATCTCCTGCATATGACTAGTCCAGCCGCTTCTGCCCAGAAGTAAGCCTTTGTTTTCTGAGTTTCCTTGTCACTTAAAGTCAAATGGGATGGTGATTTATAGAAGATCTCTGAGTGGGGACAGAAAGTTTAAAATTATGCTCTCAGGGAAATCTGCCCCAATAAGACTCCTTCTTGCCTTCTGAAGATGGGTTAGGGTGGCTTTCCATGGCCAGCTGGCCAGCCCTGCTGGAGGGAGATAGGGAGTGGCTTTTGCTCAGAAAGCTAGTGTCCCGGATGGGGAGAAAAAGCCCCAACCTCTTTAGAGTGAACTCGGTGGGCTCCAGAGACGTGTGCGTGCCAGAAGGAGAGCATCTCTTCCTTCCCCTCATATTTCTCCGGATTCTGCTTTGCCCGTATGTTTCATAGGCCCCAAAGATGGTACTGGTCAAAGGTGCCAGTCATGGAGTGGAGAGCAAGGGAGGCATTGAGGCTGGACACAGCTAATGCCTGTCTCTGAGATCGAATGTTGCCACCCCCATACACACTTTCTGGTGATAAATGTAGATATTTAGAACATCAGAATTATGGGAGGGAGGTTTCCTTTTTTGGGGGAGCAGATCTGTGATTTTATTGGTGTAGGGAACTACCTCCGCAAAGCGCAAATCATTACTTAACCCAAGTGTTTAACAAATGCTTATTGATCGATAGCTAATGAAATGGTAGTTGATAGAACTTCATGTTACTCTACTACAGTTAAAAAAAAAAAATCTGTGCAGAGGGAAAAAAAAATGGATTAATTCTCTCCCCTTCCCCAAGTCATTATCTTCATGCCATAATGGTACACTGAGGCAGGGTGCCCCATAGCCTTTATCTGGCTAATGAGCTGATGCCATGTAATTGCCACAGTCCAATGCTTCGTTTTGAACTTGAACAATGAAGAAAGAAATCAGGATCAAACATGGAATAATTTTTTTTTGTTCTCTAAATGATTCTTCATCAGTCTAAATATCAACTTTATTGATGGCAGACAGTCTTTGCCAGTTGTGTGTGTGTGCATGAGCGTGCATTTGTGTGTTCATGTGCATGTGTACGTGTGTGTCCATGTGTATGTATGTGCATGTGTATGCATGTGTGTGCATGTATGTGGTGTGTGTGTGTGTGTGTGTAAAGAGAACTCTGGGCAGCGCCTGCTCTGAGCCCTTCTTTCTATATAAAGTGAA